CACTTTGAACTCAACGCAGAGAGAGTAACCAGTCATAGTGCTTTTTGGACTAAAGGGACAGGGTCTGGCTCTTTGTGTTTGTAAGTACAAATTTTCAGGATTCTTAGTAAGTTAAGAAAGGTCTAAACACAAAGGAGAGATCCATTTTAGCAGCAGGTGAAATTTAAGCAAGCATATGAACCGGTTATTGGCGCGTGTCAGGTGAATTGCCAAGGGCAGGTTGTTCCTCGGTGCAATTTGTTAGTTAACGAAACGTCGGTAACATCGCTGACGCTAGAACTTCAATTTTGTTCACAATATTGTATTTGTCGTTCATCTTATTGTACATCCTACTAAATGCTAAGGAAACAAACTCTTCGACACTGTTTTTTTTTTTTTGCTGGTGAACCAATGTTTACTTTGTGATTGAAAACTTATCCTTGACCTTGTTGTTAAGCTTTGAAGCTCGTAGGTATCTGCGCCTTGCTATATTTTACAGAGTTTTATATGGAGTGTATTGACCTGAAAATAAACTTTTTAAAGTTTTAACTAAATTCAATCCAAACTGCATTCGTAATCCCTGAAAGACATTTTCTGTCTTTAAAATATTGGTTGAATTTGTAACTCTGTTGAAATTCCAATAATATCTTTTGCAAATGGTAGCGATATTAATACTAATGGAAAAACCACCACATAAAATACAGCAGACATAATGCATTGAAGGAAATGATATTCCCTTTTAGGCATTAGCGTTATTTATGGATACTTCGCCCATAAACATCTTTTGTCCTCGTCTAAGACATCACAACAAAGAAAAATTACAAATAAAAGATTACTTAAGTTCCCGGAGGGAATGTTTTACGTACAAGGAAATAGATCTGTTATTTTGGAAAGTTTTTATCTAGGCCAATTGTCAGTGATCTGTTTACTTTACAGCAGTGTTGTTCACGTTATTTATTTTTCCCTGCTGTTTTCAACAGCTTATGTTTACTCGGATTATCATTCAGATTTTATTGACCTAACTGAGTAGCTTGGTTCCTGTTTATCGTCGTCTTCTCATCAAAGATGATATAGAAACGCGCTGACAAAAACATCTATTGTCTTGGAAGGACAAATAGTGAGTAAGACTGCTTTGAAATTAACTTGCGTGTGGTTAAGTGCTATCGCTTGAGGTTACGATAGCGTAACGATGGAATTTTGTCACACGATGTTTTGTCTGTTATTTTCAAAAAGTATTTAATGAGCAATAATGTTAAAACGCTGCAATGGGAAGTACCATGTAGGTTCACACGTCCAAGCGAATCACTTTTGCTGTGATTCAGTTGTCACCTGCTTTTCTGAGCGAATTCAAGTTTTTGATTTACAAGTTGCAACCAGTTTAAACACCCGCCAGTGACATGAAAAGCTAAATGAAGAATTGTTCTCTGAAATGAGCTCCCAGTATTGTCATTAAACGGACAGATGGAGGCTTTGAAAGTCGTGACAGGTTGCTGGTGAAGTTTTAAATATTCAATGGTGATTAAAATCGCCTATCTTTTGTTTTCTTTCTCCGCCCAATTCATTGGCGTGAAAATGACGGGGGGAAAGAAATTAAAGCTGTGTGTCAGTTTTCATGGGTTTGCTGTGAAGACATAATTAGTACAAATCAGTTCTGCTCGGAAGTTGTCAAGATACAACTCAAAATTCGTTGAGAAGCCACACTTTGGAAAGGCTTGGACCGTGACTGGAACAGCTAATAGGCTTAATCTTTGTTGACTTTCTGGTAACAAAAGAGCAAACAGCGCGCCTCTAGAGCTGGTATGGCGCTGGCAGCACTTGGTTACTGAGCGGGCCGTCTTCAAACTATTTACTGTTTATTGCGCGATTTCATAAAACGAAGCACAAAGGCAAACGGCGGGGCAGGTCTCATTCAAATTTTGGAAGGTTAGTGATTATACATTTCGCTCTACGATCGGCAAAAATATAGTTTAACCAACAAATACATCAATTATAGCAAATATGTTTTTGCTTGCCTTATATATTTAGAAATAATCACAAATATATACCTTGTATAATTATAATAATTTCAGCAAACTCTTGCTCTCAGGTTTAAATACTTAATGGTAAACATAAACTCTCCCCTAACAAAACAGCTTAAAATGCTAATTCATATATCGTTGCTACGTTTTCAAGTTACATATCAAATCAAAAGTTTCAGAGTTCGTCAGTAGCGATTTGAGCTTCAAAGAAATAAAATTTAAGCGCAAAATGTTTGAAAACCTGACTTTTTTGATGTTTCAAAATCTTTACTTAGTATTTAAGTTATGTTAATTTGTATCTATACAGTGTAAATATTTGTGTTTACTTGTTCGTAGGAGACACGGGAACCGAATCTGACCTATTTTCGCTGACCTTCAACGCTACATTATATTTTACTCACGAACACCAATGAAAAAGATAAATGATCGTTTTTCGGTCAAGTTTACATTTACTTTATTTCACATCCCAAGTTGGAGAAGTTCCTTCGTGCGTTTTTGATTATTACTACTGAGAAAATGGAGATCTTCGTATTAAAATGCTTGATCGCTTATATTGAAGTGAGACGAATCAGGAACCAAGTGATGTTCACCTTAATTGATCTTATCCACGACAAAACTGTCAGCCTGGGTTGCTGCAGAATAAGTGCCATAATTTACGGCGATCGTCTTTACTAAGCAAAAGAGAGCTGAGTTAGCTTTTAGACTCACTTTTAACAAAGTGGCGTTGAAACTTGATCAGACACTGCACACTAGATAATTTCAACAAAAACTTCTTCCGTTTGCTTGCTTTTCACCTGTTCAGTGTCTGATCAGTCAACAGGGCGAACGAATTTGCTGACCCTATTGACTGCTTAATTACGTGTGATGAGTTTCCTTCCCTAAGTTTTTGCAAAGTGATTCTGAGTGATGAACATCTCCTACTGAGATCAGTCGGCAGTTTCTTCCACCATTATGGAGATGCAAACATGCGGGAAATTCAATGTTTGCGATTAGAATGAAATGTCAATCAATTTCAGTAAAATTTGATTTCTGTAATATTTACCGTGTTTAAAATTATGATCCCTGGCAAAAGATTTCAAATACGACAGAACACTTCCGTCTTTGCACATTTTCATCTGGGACGCTTATCGCAGTTACTGTAGATTTTACCTCGCACGTTTCGTTACATCTCATGCAAACCATCGCGATTTCGTGCTATTCCTATTCTTTAAATATGTTGAAATTACGTAAACGATTGCAAACATATCTTTAGTCTCCTTACAATTTACTGTCACGTAGATGGGTGTTGAGACTAACAAATAAAATCAATCATTTTTGCTGTCTAGTTGAAATTTGGTAATCAATCACAAGTTAGACCAAAGGGTCTGATTTGAAAACTATATTTGCCTCAATTTAGTCAGAAATCCCACAAAACGATTTAAAAACATACACGTTAGGTTAAAATCAAGTCTTCTACTTTCCGCTTTATTTTTTTAAGCCGTTAAAAAAGTGACTGTCTGGAGCCCTCCAGGCATTTTAATAAGTCAGGAAACTTTTTACTGCCGAAGGCAATTGTCTTTCTTAATCAGTTTTCATTAAACACCAACTTCAACTAAGGAGCTAATTGTTTTACAAATTGGACGTGTTACAGCGTGTGCCGCACTGAAAGAGATCAATATCGTGGATCTTGCTTTGAATTCTCTTTTTTGTTAAGAACTAATTGGATACAATGTTCTTCACAGCGACACGGGGCAACTGAATACGCAAGTTATCTTGAGCTGAAGTTAACATTCAATCACAATACGGTACATTAATACCTGCAAAAATCATCAACCACATTTAACAAACTGGCACGAAGGGTTTCTTCATTTCTGTGCTGCTATCAGACTCTTACTGCGCATGTTACTACGCCCTATAATTCGTCAATACCTTATCCAAATTATCCTTGAAGTGTTAGAATAAAATAACTTACCAGAGAAATATTTGAATGTGCCTTTTATAAGAGCGCTATTCAACTGAGCACAGAACTTAGCATGTAAGAAATATGTTTTAAAATACAATGATAATGTTAATCCTCAGTAACAATTATTTTTGGTCGTTTGCATAAACTTGACTGGAACATGGGGCTCCAGGAAAATTTCTGTCGCCCTACCTATACAGTAATTCGTTTCCCTGCTTGATATCAGCTAATAATGTGTCCTTTAAAAAAATTTGGCAAGGTTTGCAATATTGTACTCGAGTGAGTCACCAAATCACTGGGAACTTTGCACTGACTGAGATGAGTTCGGGATGAATCACGAACTGATTTTTTTTTTTTTAGCCCAAAGAATAATGGGAAACTTAACACAGTGCTTGATAATGAAGTTATTACTACACAATTAAAGTTTAATTAGGAAAGGACTTAGCAAAACGCTGATTAAACAAATAATCACGATCGTCCTCGGATGAAAAGAAGTTCACTTGAATTGGAGGCAGAGGAATGTTGTTTGTTAATGTGCATTAAAGTTAATGTCAGAGAACTTACTTCCGTGCTGTTTCTTCAGCTTTTACTTGTCATCATATTTGTCAGAGAATAACTGTCCTGATACACTCTACACTGCATCTTTGAAGATGGACAAACTTTTGGCTGAAATCTATTGTATACTGTTATATAACTGATTTATAACATATCAGTTGTGCGATAAGAATTCAACATGGCTTTGAGCATGGGCCGTTGAAGTTTCCTTCACCGTGGTTCAGGTATTCAAATGGTTTTGGCACCTGTTGAAAATCCCTTGATTTGCAAAATAAAGAATTGATGTTTATGCACGAGGCAGCCCTGGCAGAAATTAAAACTTAAAGACTTAAGTTGTATAAAAAGACTTAAAATCGGTGCCTGCCGGTCGGGCGAGCGGAACGGAGAAGAGAATTAACCATAAGGAGCTTTATATTAATTCCACTCTGTATGTAGCATTGTCACATTTCCTTATTCGTGTTCTCTAAATACCCCTTGGTTCTCCTTTACTCGCTCATAGTAAGTCAAGATTTAACTCGTTCGTGTTTAGTATTCTCAACCTGCATTGACGACTGAACTTTGCAGTTTCAATATATTCCTCTATCTTTGCTGTCGATCTATGGTTTGACAATTCCTTTGGTACTCTCTGAAAGGAGTAAAGATTGACGAAATTATTTTGATTATTCGCCTAGTCGCAAAACGTCGTATAAACGTAGCCACCTGATCGCTTTTTGAGAGATTCCTCTCACGTTTAGTCCTAAAGATCATGCGATTTCACACGTGCACAGATTCATATTATTATACAAAGGTGGTCTTAGAGGAAAAAGCAACGCACCAACAGTCGCAGATAACTTGAGCGTACTTCTGTTTTTGCCTCTTTGCCAAGTTCTTCATTGTGACTGAAATTTTCTCACGACTTATAGCGACACTGTATAACCACTCAGGTCAAGTATTTCAAGTGTTAAGGCATTCTTCTCTGGAGGCGTTGTTTCTGCGAACTTCACAGGATAGAGGCTGCATTGCGTGCTAAAGTACAAGCTGTTCTACTGAACAAAATTCTCATGTTACTCAGTCAGGAATGGTGGTTACCACAGGCGATCGCCAAAGTATTAGTTGTGCGTCTTTTCAAGTGAAAGGCTGAGTAAACAAGCTTTTGTTTGCAACGAACAAGGCGGAATTACAATGACTTGGCTAAGGCCCTAATAATGAAACGCGGTAAAACATGTAAAACGGTGTGGGAAACAAAGCTGCTGAAATTAGACTATTGCCCCAGAAATTTTAGTCATTTACACTGTTACAAAAGAACTTATGAAATTGTTCATATGGGATTTTTTTAAAGAAGAAAGTTATGATTGATCATTGCGCTGAATCCATGAATTATTGGCAACTGAAACCATTTCTTTTTAAGAAATTCATTCCGTGCAAACCTTTGCCTCGCAAATGAAGTGTTTTTTAAAGGCAATGTTACTCTCTCAAGCTGTCTTCAGCAGGTGTCAAAGAAGATTATACCGAGCGCACGTTTTTGTCTCGCCACGCGGCGAATAAAGATAACACGACAACACCTTTACACCGCGAACTCGGACCAAACTAAAGTCTTCCCAGGCTTACAGGCAAATAGTTGAAATTTACAATCTACCTGATTAGGTCGGTCACGAGCCTGATAATAACAAAATAGATAGCTCTCACAACGTCCTACAAATAATCACTTACTGCCTAGCAAAATTAAAAACAAGCGAAAATTTATACTTGAAGGAAAAATGCAGGGGTAACAAAAAAAATATTAAGCGTTTCAGCATTCACACGTATAATTGAGGAAAACTCTCTTCATACTACAAAATAAGTTTTAAAAGAAGTGAACTTGAAGATTGGAGAAAATCTGTTTCCAAGGGCAACGGTTCAGGAACTGTTACAGTGCTGATAAAATCTGTGATAATGAAAGTTTTGGAGGTTTATTTCGACATTTCTCTCACGCGTTTGTGGCCTGTCACTCACGAGCGTCATAAAAGGTTCTGATTTAAGTAAACAAACAGACACGTTGCATCTTCTTCAAATAATTTTGGGACGAAATTTCACAAGCCAAATGCTGCTTATTTTTTTTTTCCTTTTCGCTAGTACACATTTTGCATTTAGGACTCTTTTAATGGCTTATTCACCTGGGGCTAAAGGTTCATTAAAAGCCATTTTGCTTTCACCTCATCGTGGTAACCACACATAAAAGAGTTTATGAAAAGAATAATGAAATAGTATCAGCGACGCAGTGTATCCCAAACTACCACTATGCTTAATAAATCTGTTTGTTTAACAAAGCCACCGTCACACAATTCTAACTCGTTATATTACGCATTTGGAAAGGAAAAAGAAAAGAGGAAAGATTCGACAAAGAAATATTTTGCGAGTTAAATGAAGATTCGCGAATATTTTTCAGTTTGTACTTCACTTTTTAATGGTGTCGAGTTAAAATTGAAGATTAATCTTTTGCGAATTACAGGCACGAGGTACAGTTACTGACAGCAAAATAAAAGTTCTATTTGGCTAATCTGGAGAAAATATTCGACGTCGGTTTTCTTTGTTAGTATACTTGAATATGTTTGAGCCGCAAATATGCCAGTGTTTCATTGAAAACAAAAATAATTTTTGCCGACAAAGGGAAAATCATTACGTGACAAATAAACGACAAAGCGACCGAGCTAGACATTGACAGGAAAACGACCAAACTGCTAAATCTGAGAGACGGAACAATGCGTAAAAGGACGAGACAAATCAAACATTTACCGAGCGTCAAGAAAAGCGAAATGTTTAGCATGAAAATACGATTTTGATTAACCAATCGTTTGTGAGCATAGGAAGTTTGCTTAAGGCGCTTGTGAATTTTAATTGGAGGAGGACATAGGAAGTCAGTATAATACACAAAGACGTTGCTATAAAAAGCGAATCATATACGTCTCCCAACTTAGTTGTAATTTAGCAACTTACAAGGAGTATAAGACTTCTCAATCAAAACGCACAGAAACCTGAAAAAGTGACGTCCTTTACTGAAAAATTATAAAGTTCAACTGAACTGAATGCTGTAGAGGTAAGCTATTTCCGTGGAAATTTCTTGAAATATTTTCCGCGACTCAAATTATTGGAGGGCAAATACCCTAGTTTTAAAACTGCCGTAGGAAGAACTCGGGGAAGAAAGACCCAATAGAGCCATCGTGAAAGCTCTCGCCAAGGATTGTTTCTCCAAGAGCTAGTACGTTAGCAATCGATAGAGTAAACATGGGTTGTGTTGGTTGTTGAACGTTTATAAGCTTACTGCCGTTTAAGTTTGAACAGTTAAGAAACTAAAGCACCTCTTAAAGTAAATCTTGGTGAGCGTTTGACTTGGTTTTTTGTGGCGACAGAAACCTAAGATTATTTTTGCTGTAACTAGTGCGTAACACAGCGATGCAGAACGATAATTGACGATGGTTATGTTCTTTCCAGTTACTGGATAAACTAAGGTTTCAAAGGTAAACAAGTCTATCGATTTTCTCACGGCGAAATACGTTTTCGTTTGGTAGATATATTTGTGATGTTTAAGCAAGCAATTTTACATAACCTGTTGTGTTGTAATTTTTCACTCGGTCCAATATTTGGACTGTTTTGTTGAGTCGTGTTTGTAAATTTGATATGATTGTGTGCCGAAGAAAGCTAACTGAACAACAGTTAACCTCAAGCACCGTAAGCCCACTGAAAGTCAGTTCAGTTAATGTGGCCTGATTCCATTTAGTGCCAATGAGCTTTAAACTGGAAGCTTGTGGTGAACGCGTTGAAAGTTTTAGCTGCAAAGTTCCTGCTCATGGAAGTCGGTAAGGGGATTAAAGCTAAAAGAGGCAGTTAAGTGCTTGATAATTAAGCGCCCTAGGGCAAACAGCTATCTTTACCTTTTGTCATCGAAGCTGAAGATCAAAAGCCGATAGAGTTCTAGTTATGTGTCTAAATATACATCGTTCATAAGTTACGGTTCAGCCGTGGGTCTGCTGCCGATTTGCGCGCCAAACGGACATGACTCGGAAACATGGAATCTCACTCGAAGTTCGGCCATTATGTTTTAGTTCTCAAGGTACACTTTTTATCTAATCTCGTGTATTGAATAAGCTCGCTGACATTTTTTCCAAATCCCTCAAATATTTAGAAAACAGTGTATATCTTGCGAATCTTTATCTGTCAGCACGCATGTAGAGTTAAATTAGCTACCATAGAATTCATGCGGTTTTGCTTTTCTTGGGTTGTACTGAAAGCCTGTCAGTTGTCTCCAAATACGATGTTAACATTATCCAAAATAAACTACAGAACAATTCAGTCAATAGTCTTTTTATCAAGGTCTAGCGGTGTCTCAGAAGAATCTTCCACCATAATTATTCACTCAGCAGCCAAAAGTTTTCGTTCAGTGTATTCACAACAACAGATATCAGTTCCTTGTATGACTTCCTACACCGTTACTCGATTTTTTCGGAGTTTGGAGGGTGAGATAAGATAATTCTGGGTTGTTAATCGATTATTGAATTAAACGTCAAATAGTTCTCGAGGAGGCAAAAAATCCTACTGAAATTTCGACGAAAGTTTAATAATGAAACTCTCTCTCTGTCTACAATTGTCGATTGTTTACCTTTGAGAAGTCACACAAGACATATTAAAATTTAAGCTCATTTTCCAAACAGAAAGAGCACTTTCCAAAGTTGACAGTTTTCTTCCTTATTACAAAAACGAAATGTCTTATTTATTTCGGGCCAAACTAAACGAGAAATAGACAAAATTCTTTTGAAGAACGAAGTCTAGCTCGCGAAAGTCAACGGTATATAACTCTGGTGGGGACAAACGCATTACCATTGAAGGACGTAAAAATTAATGAACACTTTGCAGAAACTCGGGCAATTGGAAACGAAATGATTGCAATTAGGGTCGCGCATCAATTGCTAGTCGGCTGTCGAGTACTTCCTTTACTTATTGAATGAAGACTAAGAGTTTAGCGAGATTAGCGAAAAACCAACATAAGCAAGGTTATAACACACGACTTCTCGCTGACAGGTGTACCAAGTAAATTAAATTTAACCGCAAAATTCGATTCCTTCCTAATGTAGGGCCAAACTAGTCAAGAATAGAATGATGGCAAAAAATTTCCTAATCACCGATAAACGTTTTTCAAACCTAGGACACTTTTTATTGCGTGAAATTGCAAGAGTTGTAACCATCACTTAAAATTTCTAAAGAAAGCCGACAGTTAAGAAAAGCGCGCTTAATTGGGGTGTTTTTTTACATTGAAAAGGCTTGGCTAAAATAACGGCTCAATATAATGGAAGAAATTGCGGCGACTTATAGCGTGGCAAATTAAAAGAAGAATCGTGATGTTTGAAAAGCCTCGACAGACTTGAATTATTTTAAGTTTAGCGCGTCCCTTCGATTCCTTGGTATTAAAGGAATTGTCGCGCTAAAGTCTTTTATAATCCTTTTGCGACACCGTTCAGACTCCACTCGTTCGCGCAAGGCTGTTGCTTTCGTAGCTCTTTACGCTGGGCGATGCCTGATCAAAAAATCTGCTTTAGACTAAACAAAGGCACTTTTTCACAACCCAGATAGGGTAATAAAAACTAAATTGCGGCAAACACTATACAATACAAGCCATTTCGACACAGAGATAATGTTGCCGGCACTAAGCAAACACCACAAATTGAGCATAATTGAAACTACTCCACTGTTTTGCGAAATGTTGTAAAGTCTCTTTACCAGAATAAAGTTCCTTAATGCTCGCATATTGATAGAGATCCTGGGGGGCAAACATTTAGAAAAAGAATCCTTAAACACTAAGAGTCGGAAACAACCAAATAATGTATGTTTGCAAGGGCGAGCAGTGTTAAGTTGGTCGGTCAATAATTCATCTCGTTCGATTGCTCATTTCATGAAGATAAATCTTGCTCGTAGCAGAACGCGTCTAGTCTTAAGGAAGTTTTAATTGCGTTTGAGCTTTTTGAGGTCCTATTCTGCCTCATGAAATAAGGGTGATATCAGCGTTTGGCACATTCATTCAACGTTGGCGGCTAGCAATACATGTAGGTCATTTGAAATTCTTACCATTATAATCACACTACATCTACAGCTGTCTTTCGAGGCACCTGGAAATGGCTTTTGTGAAATGATTGACGCGAGCCAAATTTGTTAATTAATTGCCTCAGTTTCCGGAAATGAGAAATTGGATTCTAAAAATTCTGCATTTTTCTTTCCGTCCCACGCGCCCATTTGGCCACAAGAAGTCGCAGATTTTATCGCGAGCTCAAAGGCGCGTGCTAGCATTCCAGAGAAAAAAACAAGAGGATCCTTGGCAAATTTACTGCATGTAAATCGCTTGGAGCCGCGGCATAATGATCGTGAATTATCAATTCAAACAATTCAACCGAACGATTGGTCGAATTTGACAGCAGTTAGCAAAACTTATTAAATAAAACTCAGGTTTTTGTGTTTCACTCACAGAGCGTTTCTCCCGGACCGATCATAATAAGTCAAGTAAACTCAGCACAAAACATATAACGAGAGCTTAAAATAATACCAAACTATGATACAGGATCGGGGCAGATCCTGGCAATAATCCCAAACGTGTAGCAGGTGATTTGGGAGAAGTTCTTTTCTACACGAAAGACAAATGTTCACAAGGCTATTGGTCGCCGTATACCAAAAAACCGGTCCCTAAGAAGTTGAAAAAGTTATTGCAACGAGGAGGTTTCCAGCGGTAATTGCTTTTGTTTGTGGAATTTATGTTCGCAGTTGTTATGCTAATTGTGAAGCCAATAGCACTGACAGGACCTAGGTTACAGCTAGGCTCCAAAAGAATGTTAAACGATCCCGGTTTTAGAGCGGTCAGTTTTTGACGTGAATGATTTGATCACTCAAACGCCAAATTGCATGGCTTTTAAGGTGTTGTGTGATGACGGAGGCCTTTTACCGCTTCAATCTATCCCTTCTTCCTGTCCTTTCAAAGATATCAGCACCTTTGAATCTTTTGCCGTTAATGTTTAGTTTATCCTGTGCGAACGGTGATCTTTGTGTAGTGTTGACATTAAGGATACGAGATAGGACCGAACCATAAAGTGTCCTATCGAAATAATTGTATTTGCTCATAAATTATGAAACGGCAATTTGTTTGTGGGCCTTCGTGATGGACAAGCGATAATGGACCCCACAACTTTTAATAAAATGTCTCCCCACGGGTGGTCGCAAAGGCCCCTATGTCAATAAACGTAGCAAGGCTCCAAAGGGCTTTCCCATGGAACAATAGCGAGGGAGGAGCTAACCGACATGTCACGTTAAGCCTGTTTACGTACTGTCACTAAAAATAAAACTTCTTTATTGCTAGGAGGAAAGAGTAATCTACGCTGGTCTCCGCGGCAGAAGGACGTGACGGGACGGTACGAAAGCTACGTTCAGTTGGTTACGAAACAGTTAAAAGAGTCTACCTGCTTATAGAATAGAGAAAAGGCAGCATCATGATGGAAGCTATGAATCCTGGAAATCCTGCAGCCGCTATGGGAGTTGGAAACCCGCAAACACAAGGCCATCCTATGGACGACGGCAAAAGCAAGCAGGCGAAAGAGAAAGTTTACCGCCGCAGTTACACGCACGCTAAGCCACCTTACTCTTATATTTCGCTCATCACCATGGCCATTCAACAGTCGCCGAACAAGATGCTGACACTCAGCGAAATTTATCAGTTTATCATGGACCTGTTTCCGTTTTACAGACAAAACCAACAGCGGTGGCAGAACTCCATACGACACAGCCTCTCGTTTAACGACTGCTTCGTCAAAGTGCCTCGTTCACCCGACAGACCTGGTAAAGGAAGCTACTGGACGCTGCACCCAGACTGTGGCAATATGTTTGAGAACGGCTGCTACCTCCGCAGACAGAAACGCTTCAAGGCGGATAAAAAGCCTAGCCTGAGTGACCTTCCAAAGCCCGGATTGCTGAGCCCGGTCGTATCTTCGATGCACCATCAAAAAGTTCAGGGACCCAAGAGTTTAGGAGCGCCAAGCTTTCTTGCGCCGTCTCCTTACAGTGCTATGAGTGCCATGGGAGCTATGGGTGCAATGGGTATGGGAGCTATGGGCTCAATGTCTATGAACAAATCATTTAATCATCCATTCGCCATCAAGAATATCATCGCGTCCGACCATGAAGCCGACCTCAGAGGCTTTGATCCCATGCATTTCAGCCCTTATCATCCAGCGGGAATGTCTTCATCTATGACATCTCTAGGACTGCCAAAACCTTACGACACAAACCCCATTACAACAGAGCCTAGTCCTTACTACCAAGGTTGTGTGTTTACACCGTCCAGTTGCGCGGGAATTGCTGGATTTTCAAACCTTTCGTAAACTACACATATTTATCCTTACTCGGGACTTCGTACGTTTTAATTATGTTATGTGGGCCTCAGGACTGAGCTGCCTGTAAATTGAGTTATCTGTTAAGATACATTTTGCCAGTGTATACGAATTAATACTTAAATTCCAAGGTGATTTCGATGATTACATGTCAAATAGACGTTTTCTCTCGACTAAAGAGAACCATAACATTAGCGTAAAATCGGAGAATTTTATCAAAGTTAAAGAAAATTATAGAAAGTGTAATATAGCTTGTACTATTCCATTCAGTCGCCGTGCTCAGCGTGATTATTGAGTATTTTGACGAGAGTAAATGTGTAAATCAAAATATTTTGAAACTGAATTAATAAGAAGCCATGATCGTTTTAAGTTATGTTTGGTGCAATTGAGAATTAAGAGCATATGTTGTGAAGTCGATACGTTATAGTTTAGTGTTGTTTTGCTGCTGGGCAAAGAATAGCAAGAATTTTTTCTAAACTACCGAGTTATTCGGTAAAGACTGCTCTTGTGGTTAGCGGTTCGCATGTCAACTGTGTATTTAACACTACATTTACCATTATTTATACAAGCAGGGAGAGGTTTTGTAAATTTACAGTCTTGCCCAAATAGCAGTTTGTTAGTTCAACGAAATAAATTTTTAACGAAGAGTTTTCTTGACGTATTCATTGTTTTCCCTGTCGCCATTGCAGTAACTTGAGGTTGTTGAGAAGCGAGTCAAATTAATTATTTATCGGCTGGCAGCGAAGCCAACAGCCTTCCAAATGCCAGCTTTTTTAATTAAAAGTAATCAACAGTTCGACATTTCTCGTAACAGTTTTGACAAATACTTGGCAAACCTAGCTATAACATTTAAGAACACGATTATCAAGCCTGACTGAATGAACTGTTGCGCGCGAGGGTTGTAGTACAATTCCCGCGCCCGCCGTGAAATGATCTCAGTATGGGCCCGGTTCAAGCCAACTGAAAAGTGTGGCGGTAACATTACGAAGTGTGAAAACCACTTTACTCTCAGTAATCGAATTTGAGAGACTTTTTCCTGGATAAAACATGTAGTAAAGGTGTTAAAATAGCTCACCGATGACTAGCGGTCCCTTTGAAATTCCTCTCTGCATCATCTGTATCCCTTTCTCTAATATTCGGCCCAAGTTTGTTTTTTTTCTTTCTTTTACAACATTGATATCTTAAAACAGCTTGCCTTTTGCTTACAGAAAATAGCCTATAGCGGCTTGGTCTTCAACGATGTGATGATAGATTAGGGTCTATAGCGCGTACCTGCGTCAAGTCAGCTCTAGCTTTCAAAACATTCTAAACATAGATCTTCTTGAATGATTCTAACAGTCAACACGCCAATCTTTTGCAAACTTTGGAACTTGTGTTTGGAGAAGTCCTCTTTCAGGAGATCAAATTTCTTGAAAGGGTTCTTAACTGCCCAAAGTCGACTGAGTTGTTAGTTTAAACACCAACCTGTATACACAGAGCTGAGGCATGCATTATTAGATCAAAAAATACATTCAGTGATTGATGACTGTAGGGCAGTTCGTGTCGGCCGCCCAAACTAAGTTTTCTTCTTGTTATTTTGTCGCGAAGCTTAAGACAAAGGTTAGATGGAACCTTGTGAGACATTCCAAGGAGTTATAGAGGAATGAGGCTGAGTTCAAGGTAAAGTAAATACATTTTGCTATTACTCGTGTAGGTCTTCGCTATTCTTCTGGCTCAAGTGAATTTCCGTGGGAAAAAGCGGTCTTCTCTTTTGAGTTTAGTAAGCGGTCGGCGACCGTTTTACTCAGTTTTGCTAATTCGCAACATGTTAATCACCTACTTCTATTGTTTCTGACTTTCGGACACTCTTCACCTGGGTAAACGCTCGATCGGTTTTACTGTCCGCGTTTTAGTGCGCTTTGCACAGCTCTTGCGCGGCTCTATTTCGTCACGTAAGCGGATTAAAAGCTGCTGAAGGGAAACTTGGCAATGAGAATCGACGTAAGAATATCAAGACATGCTTTTTTCGAATTCAAATTGCTCCTGAATTTTGTGAGTGGTGAAGTCATGATGAGGTGGCAGTCTATTTGCCGCAGATGAATGTCAATTCCGCCATCGTGCCGAGATTCTACCCTGCTCGCAAAACGCTATCCGCCGGCCATCGACTTTTATGATGCGCTTTACATCGAAGCCGAGAGATTACTAGGTTAAGTCGTCTGGAGAGCTCCCGCATGAACACATCTGTTCAGGTACGTTTATCACTCGTATTAATGGTAGGTCCGTACTGCTCGCCGTGCGTTAAACAGTAAACCCGATATTTTGCTCAAACCTGTGAAATAAGTTTCGTGTCAGAGTCGCTTCTTTCTCGAGGAGTATTTTCAAGGATCGATTCAAAAAGGACCAGAGAAAAGGGAATCATAGCATCATTAAAAGTGTAATATGTTTATCACCTAAGGTCGGCAAAATGAACGTTTAGGGAAGCCGGAAGGTGCTATTCAGCAATTGTTCTCCTCCGCCTTCATCTCAAAGAGAAAAGAAAAAGAGCTTTACGAATCTCGATCGGGCTTTACAGAAATTATCTTCAAAAATTTGCCTCAGGCGTTTTGGTGGAGGAGTGATGCGGTGAAGAAAAGTTTAAACGAGTTTAGCTAAGTAACTAATTTAAACTCGCTTTATCCCACAGTCGAATATCAAAGGCCCCGAAATCTTTTAATCAAACTATCATACGCCCCGGCCTGTGAGCTGGCGGCATTTCGTTCTTAGTTTTAAAGGAATTCAATCGAATTTTAAAATGTCGGGAAGAAGCGATGGTTGTATGTTGATTTGGAAACAATGGGCTTTTGTTCTGTTCGTATTAGGGTACATGAGTTATAATTATGGAGCACGTTATGTTCAAAGCTGGGTCAAGTTATTTCGTGTTTTCATATCGGATGAAAATGCCAGATTTTCAGCGGCATTTTCAATCGTCTTTACTGACTTGTAATTGTTATTAACGTTCGAGTAAAACTGTATTGAATAGCCATGTTTATGTGTTTCCTTTTTCTATCGGTACACGACGGCAAAAGCAAGCTTCTCCTATTGAATCCATCAGCAAAGAGTTTATGAAGAGCAACAGAGAAATGATATAATGAATCACGTATTTATTGCCACCAAAATCTCTCGATCGAAGAAGCAACGAGATAACTAAATGCGAAGATGAAAACACTATTCAAGATGATACATTTTCAAACATAGGAGAATCCGTCGTGTTTCATGCCTTTAGGGTTTCGTGACCTGATCGATTTAACTCGCTTTAAATTCTCTTAGTTTACAAGTGGTTTACAATGGTTTTCATTTGGTCTTGAAACGCGAAAAATAAGTCCAATGAGACGAAACACGGAAAATATCTTTGTTGGTTAAGTGGCTTTTTATAGTTCATCTTGAATTTCATGAGTTTTGTCTTGCCAAAAGGTTTAAGCGATAAGGGCGCAATTTATTCAGGCAGCTTTCGTCTTTAGTGTAGGGCATAATTCAGTATCTGACTTCACTCTAGTGAAAATGAAAGTGTCGCTTTTGAAGCATCTGTAAAAGCTGCTTCGCGATAAAATTCAGCGCGTGATTGTCATGGAAAATGCGGCGGGCAGGTAGTTCGGCTGTCGTCCGTCGCAGTCGACCTAAATTTCCTTTTGATCTTATCTAAGTTCGTTGCTGCATTAATTCATTTACGATGGGAATTGTGTACAAACTTAGGAATTGACGTTAGAAGATGATTGCTTTCATCAAGGGCAGACTTAGACAGATTAATTTCGAAGATGGCACCAAGATGTTTTGAGGTCAGCTTGAAGATGGCCTCGCCAAAATGGCGTGCAAATTCATCCGGTGAGGTTGCAATTTAAGCCTTCGTAATATTCATTGAAACATTGGTTTAATAAACGAAACTTGAAACTAAATCGATATTTTCTCAAAGAGGTTAGAGACACGCGCCCGACTTGAGTAGAGGGCGAGTGAATGATTATCAATCGTTTTAGTGAACAAACATCACGGCCACCCATATCGGTTAAAGCGAAACCATGCAGCTTGTCTTTGCTTCCAAACGTATTTTCTTTGAGGTCAAAGGCGTGTTTAGCTTCCAAACCTGAAATAATAGGTGTGTCTGAAAAGTGAAAACCTTCCCGGTAGCATCTGTTGTTTGGACTCGTGTTTTTTCGACTCGACGAGATTAGCGTTCAGGAAGGAAGTTTCGAAAATGAGCTGAGGAAATGGCGACATTAGCGGCTACAGGGAGGGGAATGTAAAAGAGGTGCGGTGCCGGGTTAAACACTCGGACCGCTGTCAGCAAGGTCCTTGAGATATCAGAAAGTATTTCTGATAACAATACCCCAGATTTTCCCATCGCCAACGTAAACATGAACGTATTTAGCCTTTGCAGAAAATAACAAGGATTAAACTGAGGGTGTACAGTAAAAGGAGCTGTAGGCTGAACATATGCGCGGCTCTGAATTCAGACGGACTCTGACATCTAAACTCTTCTATTCGGCGACTCAAGATAATTTTCTTAAGTTCAGCTTAAAAACTAGGGATGTTATCATTACGTTCCACGATGCTAGTAAACAGTCACGACACAGACGAAGTATAAAAGTTTACAGTATAAACCAGTGATTCAACTTGATGAGTTAAATATTTGCATGTTATATAGTTAACTGCTGGCAAAGGGAAAATATTGTTAAGTACACAACTCAGTTAACTGACTAAACTATAAATGTTCACTACAAGCAGGGTCTCTGTCAAGGAGCCCGGTGTTGTTTTATTCAAATCTAAAGACTAGCAAGACATTTCCGCTCTTTGTGACTCGATTCCAAACAAGTATGAAGCGAAGAAAGTCTCAGAAGCTGAGAGCCAGCTTCTCAGTTACTAGGTTTTTACTACCACAATTATGGATTTCTCAAGTCTTCCTTTTTTTGCGGTTTAGCGTCTAAATGGCGGAGAATTCTTGTTGGTGATCGAAAGTAAACTTGAGATGCTGTGAAAGCGATATGCTTAATGGATACTGGTAGTACACGTGGGAACAAGAAGCACAAAAGAACCTAAAAGGTATGGCAAATGGTGTTTTGATATTTATCAAGTTCTGTGCACAGTCTATAGAAACCTAATCGAGCTTAATCTCATACCCTTAGCTGTTTATAAACTGCTTCCCTGACTGCGGCGAAGCTTGTTGTTATCATGGTAATATCTGCTTAAGAGGAAGCGAACCAGCAGAAATCTCTCTCGTTTATAATAATCGTGTTAAATGTTACTCGTTGTTAAATTGCACTCATCTTTTGCTTCGGTGAAATTCTAAGGTTCATGTTGGGTTTTAGCAGGAAGACAACGTTAAACCCGATAAATTGAAACAGAGTCCTGTTATGTTACGTGAAAGTTGGTTTTGTGCTGCAGTAAAATTATCCTGAATTTGGTATTGCTCGTAACAAGATTTGTCATATTACATCAGCTAATTACTTACGAGAATCGGTATTTTCAGGCAGATTTTACATTTCCACGGGCTTAAAATTCAGTGGCCTCTTATAATTCTTTTTGGGGAATAAGGTAATAGTAAATTCAATGTTGGACCTGTCTAATTACTGAAAATGCTTAGATTTGGGGTACAACTGTAAACCGAAGGAGCTGTAAAACAGTCTTGACATGCAACAGCTTTTGTAGGTTATTACCGACACAGTTGTTCCATAGCCGTCTCTGAACGGTCAAATTTGCCCTGTCTAGGAGAACATCTTTTAGCCCCAGAGTAAATTTTCTTCTGATCTTTTGAAAATGTCATCTGTGCTTTGAAGAAGGGCAGTAATTATTTATCTGGCAGAACGTATAGCAAACAAATAAACATGGCCGAACATGTCTGTTTGATCATTGGGCAAGGTTGAAGACATGGTTACAATTGCTAAAGATGACAGCGTTAAAGATGAGACCAAACAAGCTTTAGTCAAGAAAAAAGTCAAATTAATCTGGAAAACGTTTTGGGAAAATTTTGGAAAAAATTCGGCTGTTTTCTTTGAGAGTAGCAGATTAGATGGAGGAAATTATGTGAGCACATGGGCATTATCTTTGGGCGTGGGTTTTGAAACTCCGAGAAAGGTAGGATTCTATCTGAACAGCTCTTAATACTTTTTCTAGCTGAAATTTTAAGAACTGTAACTCAGTATTACATAGAGAAATTTATACGGCTGCAATGGTGTTGACCTTAGCGATGAAACTTTTTGTTTTAATTCTCAAAACATTATGAGCTAAGAAGATCTGTCTCGCAAGAATTAAACTGTTTTCCCAGCTGTCGCCGTAAAATCGCAATTTCCTTTTCACTCGAAACTATTTTTTCTGCGATGTCAGATTTCAGGAAAAGTTTCGTTCGACAGTGAAAAATTGTGAGTGGTATCTTTAAAAAGATTACACAGTCAGTTTTGGTAATAATATTTGCAAGAGAACAAATTTTTTTCTTTCTAAAGAAAGGGCTATTCCACGCGAATGACATGTTTACACAGTGTCTTTCAAGAGATGAGTTTCTAACCCATATTATTCTGCGCTCATTTTAAATTTTGCCTTGGATTAAAGACCTTTTTCAATTCTTTTAGCATGCCCATACCCTATAATCTACTCATTTGTTATTTGGCAATTTTTAATGTAAGAAATCTGCAGTATTTCACAGGGTTGGATGTTTGAAAAACAAGCCAAGTCTTATGCATTTGGCGGGTGTTTGTAGAGGCTTAAAGCGGATAAAAACTTACTTGGCAACCGCGATATTACAGGCGCAATAGATGACCTTAAAATGGTTCGCGTAATATTCTGCTGCTAAAAAGGAAATTTAGTTTTCCCCTGAGCGTTTCTAAATGAAATTCAGTGGTAAGTTCCTTCTACCAAGTGTTTAAGAACTTTTTAACATAATGTTGTTATTGTTGTTTCTCGGAGTATTTTCAATACGTTTAATTTGAGCTAATCCATTTTGTTACCTTTCAGGTTTAAAGAGCTTTCGGGGCCTACAGGAGAAAGCAGTTAACAAGTGATACGATATGTGGTCTGTGCTTAGTGACGGTATTAACATCGAACAAATGCAGGAAATATACAACTGAGTAGAAAAATAAGAAAAGTAAAAGACAAGACGCTAGACAAAATCGAAACTTAAAGAGAGATGTCGTGCAATCCCGATGAATCTATGCACGTCCGTCATCTGAAAATAACAGGCAGATAATTGTATTAAGTTATTTCGTAGTGCGCCAAATATTCGCCTCAAGGCAAGCCTCTCTGGATTATGTGATCGAGAAAGAGAGTTTTCTAATCCGTAAATCCTAGAGTCAACTCCATGAGATTAAAATAGCAAAGTTTAATTCAGGGTTTAGACGTTGCATCGATGAAAAATAACCCTCATTTATTTGATAGTGATTCCATTTATACAATTCGAAATTTTTCGAATTACGTTTGTACAGAACTGTTTGGGGGAAATTTGTGACAGAACCCATCTACTTGTTGTCTTTTATTTGTAGGAGTCTTTCGCATCGTGTTTCCTTCAATTCAAACCATATCAACTCGCCTTGTTTACAGTTGTCCTAGCTGTTGAACTTCCTGCGTAGTTTAACCTCCAATTTTCGCAGTAAAACCATAAAGGCTTTTTTTTTCTCAAATAAGTACCAGAAGTAAAGGAAATCATTGAAATTCTTATGGACGTAATCAGAAGGTTCGTACTTTCGTTTCTAGCGTGATGTGCTTCAGGTCTTGTGCGCGACGCGGCGGAGAGAGAAAACCTTTGTGACCCACCCAGATGAAAAAACTAAATAAATCGTTTGTGTGAGAGTATAAAGTACTTTAAACTCAGTTGTTTTCTGTCGAGTTAACCTCTCGAATACAAACAGTGAAACGTGAAACAGTTGACTCAAATTTCCCTTCGATAAATAGTTAGGAAAATATTTTCTCGCCTAACAAGCTAGGTTAGTTTATGTTGACTTTGTTTTTGTGTTCTCGGTAGATCATTCAGTTGAGCTTGCAGGAATATGACTTGGTTGTAATTCAGTTTTCTTTTCAAAAAGGGATACTCCAAAGCAAAGAGATGAACTCTTTCCTTCCTTTAAGAAACAACCTTGCGACAAGTTTTGTTTTACTAGAATAATTTATGTGGCTTATTTTATTTTTTTTTTCTGTAGTGTCGTGAGAATATTTGGAGAAAATATCTAAGAGAATATAGGAAAATACAGAAATAGGCCCAAAGAAATACGCAGCTGTCCCATTGAAATTTTAATTGAACATGACTTCTTTGACATCTCTTTGACGAGGCGGCATTGAACGCGAAGGCGTCACGGAACTAACTGAGATTTTTTAAAACCTCGTAGTGGTTTCTAAGCGAGATATATTTCTGTAGTTTTGCTCTATGTTCTACAAGACAACCGAAAGTAAAAACAGCTGTGATGGAATCTTAAGCAATGCATCCTCCGCTAAACATGACCTGCAAGTGGGTGTATCAAGATTGTCGCAATTTTGCCTTCGTTTTCCATTTATTTTCTAGACATCTCTGGTAGTAACGGTCAGCAGGCTAAACCGTCATGAATACACACGTTGCTTTCATGCCAAGCAGGTTATAATAATGACAACATTTTGAAAAGGTTTTCGTCACTCCACAATACAAAGATTTGTTCATTCTATTTGTTCTCAGAGCAGTTATGTTCGTACGGAAAAGTGAAGGTACAAGGTAAAGTCACCAAGTAAACATGATATCGAATTTAACGAATTTGCTTTCTATGAGGAAGACAGTGGCAACACACCAATTGCACCGATTGAAACAATGTCAGCCGCTTTTGGGATCTAAATCATTGCCGTGGTACAATTCATTTACCGTGGAAAAATCTCGTACCCAAAAATAAAGTACTAAAACAAAAATATGTCCGAGTTTGTTTTGTGTATGTATTTGAGTAACAATATATGTTGTATGGATATGTAGACGTATGAATGTGAAATAAGTTAATAAACATTGATATATATGGCGAATTAGCTAAACCAACTGACTGAGCAAGCAAAAATTGTTTTAGTTTCTGCAGTTTATTTGGGATGTGAATATTAGCTGGCTCCTGCAAGTTTCGTCCACGGTTTTTTCCTATAAATGTTACGAAATACCCATTTTAAAGTCCCATTAGGGCTCAAGCAGTACCTTAATCCGGGCTATGAGCGTCAGCAGTAAAAGTTGAAAGTGTAATATCAAGCAGAGAGAAGAGTGTTGAATGGTCTAAAGTAAGCTAAAATGTTTGGCCTTGTCTTTGACAGCCTTAAAATTAAAAGGAGACACTGCCAAGAAGAGAGGAAAACATTAAGTTCACTTATTATTTTAACCTGAGAGTTAAAACTATATCAAGTAAAGAAACATATAAGGCTATTTTGATGTCAAGTTTCAGTTTTCAACAAAAATTCTTTTCAGAAAGTTCATATTTTTTGGAAGGCCAAGCCGCCTTTTATCGTCTCGTAGTTTGTTTTTATTAACCTTCAAGATCAATATATTTGTGTGCACACAATATTTCCCTAGAAATGGCATTTTTAATTTGTGTGTTTGGTGTCGAGTGATGAAAAATTCGTTCTTTTCTAATTGCATTTTCAATTATAAAACTTATTTGCTGAGGTGCTCTCTGGGAGATGTTCATTTCTGTTTTTCATTTAACCAGCACCTGTCTTGAATTTAATGGATTTCATTTGCCAAGTGTATTACTTTAATGCCAGCACTAGATAAGATTTTTCCTGATATTCCCAGTGATGATGTATACTTAGAATGTCTTGAATAATCAGCTTAAGAACCGAAATAGATAATCTTTTTAAGTTCGTTTCTGCTTTAGCCAAAAAACAACAGATAACAATATTTCCGGGCAAGAATCTTAGACAAATCGCTATAGCTTGAAATCTTATATTTGCAAAATCGTTTTCTTTTTTGCGAGCCATTTCAAAAAAATTTTGGAAACCTGAAAAGTCATGTACGATAAAAATTACGAGAAAATAAAACAAGGTATTGCTACTCAAGCAAAGTGAAAACAAGTAATTTTTAGGATTGTGTTTGTTCTCAGTAAGATGTGTTTCGTATTTCCCATGCTATTAGAACTGCCCTACTGGCAGACAGAATTGCTAAGTCCTCTTCTCTTACGAAAACTAATTTCCGAACACAATTAACATAGTTTAAACATTTTAATCTGCGTCATAAGCCCAATTTATTGAAAATAAGATGTAGCCTTACAACGGATGAACCAAGATATTAAATGACAGCGTAAAATTACATTTTCTGAACTCCGTAATATACAAGGGAAAATCAAATGTCTCACGAAAATATCCTGTTACAAAAGGTGCGTATCTGAGCATTTTTTGTTGTTGTTGTTCTTTTTTGCCAATTCAATAAATGGAAGTAAAGGGCACAGTTGTATACTAAAGAAGGCCAAATTATACAGCAAAAAATGAATATGTAAAATCTTTTAGGATGATATCGAATAAAAGACGCTTTTGACTGACGAAAAATATCTATTATAAAACATAGATTTCAGAACTCTAAAAATTTTCAGTTTGCCCTTTCCCTTAAGAACGGGGTATTAAAGAGGGCCCGTTTACTGGCAGTGTCTTATACAAGCCAAGATAAGGCACTTAGAGAACAGTTTAAAATTGCCACGTCTCTTCAGAAACTTATTCTCCGAAAACGATTGCTTAATAGCTAGTAGGAAGGATGTGTATGGATGTGTAAAATGATCCCATGCTTCCCGCCTTTCAATGTGGTTCGCCCATTGTTCCACGGAGGAAGACCTTAAAAGCTTTTCCTTTGTTGTGGCTGATAAACATTTCTTCTTATCTGTTTAAACTTAAACGAATTCGCAGAAAGTTAGTAAAAGGAAGACTTTCGATCCCTACTACTTTGTTTTGACTTTAAACTGTCTTTTCTTCATTGTAATTTGGCCACAACTCTATCTGTATGCGGGAACTTGCTACAAAAAAATAGACTCGACCCAAGACCGCAGCTGTGACAATAGGTCAGTCTCCAGGCACTTAACTAATTTGGTAGTCAGCGCAAAAAAATGAGTTTTCAATTTCCTGCTTGCTAGAGCAAGCCAAAACTAGCTAACAGAGTTCCCACGTTCAAGAAAGACAAGAGAGAAAGTTAAGCTAACTTAAGCCTCACCACTGTAGTTAAAAGTTTTCCTTTTGTATTTCACGTGTTTGCCGCTTTGTTTTACAAAATTGTCTTTACAACGCTAATCCCATCGTTGTAAAGAAATAGTTGAAGCAATGAAATTGTAATAAACCACAATTTATCTTACAGCCGTTGGTTGTTCTTTGTCTCTTTATTGTTAGTACATTACTTTCTTTGTATTAATATCAGTTAAAACGCTATTTCTCCAAAGAAAAGTAGACCGATTTTCAATCATACATTACAGCCAAGTTTCTAGCAATATCCAGCGATCATTCAGTGAGGCGTACACTGCTTCTCCGTCCCTTAAACCCGGAACTTTTCGATTTCTGTTGTCATATAGAGGTGTGAGGTCGGTTTTAATTACAAAATTGTCCTATTATGCCTTTTCAAAAGCCTTTGAATCGGAGCCTAATATTCGCGGTGATGTTCTGATTATTGGTAAATTCGCTACACAATGGGCGCTTTCTGTCAATTAATTTGCAGTAGAGTCTTTGTCGGTACAAACAGAAAACGTGATCAAATAAAACAACTGAGATCTCACCACGATGTAGCAATCTTAAAGCAAATGGTTTGTTTTACATTTCTGCTTGAAATGAAATGGAAATACCGATCAAAATAATTATTCTCTCGTTTAAATGATAATGAATCCAGGCTACTCATCGTTAGGATGAAACACTGGGAGTTTCGTATAAGTGATGTTTGATATATTACTTACCTAAAAACACTTGAAATTGTATAAAAGCAAATTTCGCTGCGATTATGAACAGGGATGTTTTTTTTTCTTGAAGACAGTCGAAGTTTTTGCAAAACTTAATAATTTCCGACACAAAATCACAATAGAGACAATGAAGGGATCAGTTACGGAAGAATCTTCCACTACCATGGACATGCAACTCTTTTATCTTTGATTAAATTTCTTCTGGTAAGGTACTCAACACAAAAAACGGCGCTGTGGTACCTTTCTGAGCTAACATTTAATTTCACGCCACCTTTGCAAATCTTATCCACTGCGTAGAACAAATTCTATTTTTTCTTAATAAACACATTAAGGCTTGTGTGACACATGTTGTCAACTCTTTATCAAAAAGTCCGTTGAATTTATGAACAGTTCTTTCACGCATGATTCTTTATTTATTAGAGAGGTACATTTTTGCATAATCACAGGCTTCGAGGAGGGCTTTCCTAACTTCCGCAGATTGACATATTAGCAGGGCAATGTTTTTTGCGTGCGGGAGAGGCATTTTTGCTCCAAATTTCAAAACGCACGCGGAGAAACGCTAGAAAAAATATTTGGGAGCGGTTTGTTGGGAAGCAAACATATAACATGTATTACCCCTCAAAAGAGGATTTTGCTGTACATAGACATATCGTACACAAACACGGCACAAAAATATTTGTTCTCGAATATTAGTTGTTGAAATTGTGAGTTGCAAACGCTAACTTTTTAAGCTCTTTCAACTGATACCCCTCACATTGATATTTTTCAAATGAATAGAGGTATGCTGTTTTAGCTTGGTAGCATTACTTCAGTTTTTCATGAAGTGGGAAGCTGTGAAAAGCCTTTTGTTTTAGCCGTTTGTTTGTTTAGAAGTAAATTGATTTTTTTGCGTGGGAAAAAGTGACAGCCAAACTGTCGCTTCTCGGGATTAGAAATGACCCTATGTTCGTCATACGCAAACCTCATCGATTTTTGCATAAAAGTAATTCGTCGCAATTAAAAGTAGACTCGGACCTTCGTTTACACACCTTCCCAGATCAATCGAGTCGTTTGTTCAGGGGTTGACACTCATTCAAATCCTTTGTCTTACGGCATGTTATTAGTCAAAGAAATAATGTTTATCGTCATCTCTTTCCATTTTTTTAAAATAAAAGATATTTCTCGCTTGTCTTTTAATACCAATTGTATTCCACGGCGTCTAATTGAATGGCAAAAACAATTTTCACTTTAGCATGTTCCCCCTAAAACAAAGCCATCATCACCGTCGTTTGAATTTTATGTAGGCGTCTCAAAAAACTTGACAGCCAATTTTGCTAGTGTACTTTAATAAATGTGAAGCAAAATTCCAAACTGGGGACTCGGTTGATAAGGTAGCCGTGAATTTTAATTATCTTTCTTGCTTAAGCCCTGGGTAGGTCTGGCCCAACTAATGCCAAAGTCCGCCATTTTCGTAATCTGGATCGTGCAATAGATTATTGTAATTGTTTGATTTCGCTCGATGTACAAAAAAAACGAATTCAAACAAGTTAGAAAAATAAACTTATAAATTTTGAATTCTGTTGACTTAGAACTGGGGCGGTTTGGTTTGCTGTTAGTGAGTTAAATATTTTGTGGACTTCAAGGCTCAGCGAAGAGAAAACATTTCACTGAATAATGAATTTGTTTTAGAAGAGAAAACATCTCATGAATAGGAACTTCACATTAGCCACCGATCGTAAGCAGTTAAGCAATGTCATGCCTTTCCCTCGAGGACTTCGCTCCGCTTGTAAAACCTAGTATAACATTGGAAACAACTGTCCTATATTGTTGTCGAGGAAACGTTAATCAAGTTTCTTGCGCTAAAGCTACTCATTGTGTCTCTCCTCTTCACCAGAAGTGAAAAGCATATATAACCTGGGAGTCAGCTTTCATGATTTTGACGGCAGCCGGCAATACCAAACAACTCCTTACTCACAAACCACACAACAGCAAACTGCTGCTTCAATTCTGCTGCATGCTAAAGCTGTGATCAAATCCAAAAGTTTGAACATGTAACTAAGATTGTCCAAAACATTTACTCGGTGAAAACAAAAGTAAAGGCAAAGGAGGCTGAATTTAGGGCTACGGTTCTATGCTCTAAACCCGGGGCTCTAAAGCGCAATATGACTACTGTGATGAACACTTACAAAGAAAGAAATGTCGGATATAACTGGGCAGTTAGGTTCTTCGCCACATTATTTCAACTTGTTTGGGAGCACGATCTTGGGTCACGAAATCAAGAAAAGGTTATTGTCTTGAAAGTCAAGCGAGACAAAACAACTAGCGTAATAACTGCAACGCTTAATTTTGTTACTGGGAAATTCCAAGGTTTCTTTCGAATGAGCTCGGTCCATTCGCGTTCAGCGCGAGAGCATCGTGACACTGAGAAAATCGGGGGTTCTAATTTAACAAGTAATCCGTAGAGTATTCATAAAGTGATAGAATGACCAACGTTTGAGTGGAATTACAAATATTGGGCTATGGAAGACTCCTAGGACAAACATTCTCCGAAAATATTGTCCTTCGGGCAAACTTGAAGTCAAGTCAGAAATCAGTGAGTAGAACGTCCTAGTAACTGCAAGTGTATTTACTGCAGAAATTAAGAACATCTGCCGTCTTTTTTCGTGAATTCCATTTTTTGTGGTTGTTTTCTTCGAGCGAAAAGTGATGGTAAAATTGTATTCATGTCGTGAATGTAAATAAGCGTAAACTAATCATAATGACGCACACAATCTTGGAACAAGATGCGAGAAAACCCTTGACTAACTTCACCGCTCTGTTCGAAAGGAAACCATGTTTGCTACATCTAAAAGGCATTTGACGCGTCTAGACGACCGACATGTTATTCTCGCCCTGTATCACAGCATATAGCAGGCTGTTCATGAATTATCCATGATGTCTACTCCATACCAATATTTTAGTTCACAGTTGGTTTAGTAGTGAACGTAAAGATCACAAGGTAGATATGGTGCTTCAGTTCGTAGGCAGTTTGCCATTTGGTGTTCTGTTTTCTTTCTTTTTTAGTATCGCTTATTTTCAAGATTCTTCTTTACCCTAAACATCGTTTTGTAAATTACATCAAGAAGCAGCTTAAAATGCTTTAATTTTGTTCATTGTCGATTTACTTGGCCGTAAGATTGTTATTATTCATTTCAAAGTCTGAGTGCAAGAGAAGCAGTTCAGTGCTTTGTTTGCTTCAATTTCTTTCCTGCTCTCGTCAATTTATGTGCACTCCTTTCCTTTTTTTTTCTTTGCCTTTTTCGATAATATTATAATTATTCCAGTGCATCTGCGAGTGTATTCAGCTTCACAATATGATAAAATAACTCTTTATTCAAGGGCAAAAGTCTCCCTTTCTGCTTGCGTATGTCATGAATAGACTTACGTGGATTGATCATGCTTCAAATGACAGCTCGTCACCGGCTTTTTTGTGCAATAGACATTTTCAACAATGGAAGATCTTGCAAAGTTTCTGTTCTAATGGAACAAACAAGCGTTGTGAAATGTTTGCAGAAAGCTCCGCCGCACAGCTGACAAATGAACAAGGAAATTGTCAGTGTTAAAATCATATGTTACTTCAGTGATGTCAGAAGACATCTCACAACCGGAAAAAAAATTATGAGAACAAAAATGCATTTAAAAAAGTGAGGTAAAAATTGACCGAGGCGGTTCGTAAATATTTCCTGTGGTACCGCACAACTAAATTGAAAATGGGCTTTTGAACTTATATCCAAGCAACCCATGAATCTATTTGTGAAGGAAAATTGAAATAAATGACTGCTTCTTTTGTTTTCATTTGGTGACAGGGCAAATAATTCTTTTTAGTGAATCTCCGCTCCTATGAATAGCAGAGTCTTGCTGAAATACTAGTACCCTTCACTGACACAAAGATTATGATAAAAACTGAACATTTGGGCAACGTTGTGTTGCCCGGTATAGCCAGCTTGATTTGTCTTGTTACGCCTGAGAATGATTCCGCAAAGAAAATGAGAATAGGAGATGAGAATTTAAAAATCCATTTCTTATGAAAATGATATAATATTATTTTGAAGGACGTTGTCATATTAAAGCAGTTGGCTTGTTTCTTTAATTGCTTTCTTTGTTGGTTTTTCCCTAGAGCCGTGGCGAACGGCAAGAATTCTATGGTCGATGTTCTGTTTACTTTATTATTATGTTGCTATCATTGGAAGGTTGCATAAATAGACTAGATCACCGCGAAAATTGCTTTGTTGAAACCGCGAGCTATATATTTTTAGATTTAATATCATTTAACGACTCTCGAAATGTTGTTTGGGCAGAAAGAGCTTAATTTTCACATTTGTTTTAAAGAAGAATTAATTTCTGAATTGGAATTTTATACAACTTTGTATCTGTCTTGAATCACATTTTGGTCACCGACACTGACATCCTCTCCATAACTCATCTGATGTACTCAAACATTCATTTCCATTAAGTTTTGTAATATTTCTTCAGCCAAGGCAAATATTTCATTGAGGGTGAAAATGATTCTAGAAGCCTCCGTCAGATAAGAAATTGTGCATGAGTAAAACCTGATCGTTTTGTCGCCTTAGACGAGTCTTGTAAATACATGTTGTAATGCGAGCTACGTACTAACCGTACTATCATGCTGAACCCCTCCCCCCCTCCGCCTCTACCATAATGGATGGTAATCAGGGTCGTTACTAAATCAAGTCTTAATATCAACGCTATTCTAACAAACGACACCCCAATATTTCCGATGTAAAGTACCATTTTAAACACAAAATTTAACAAACCCCTCTGGTGCTTAATCGAATTTTTACCATTACTGGACAAATTTTGCACAAGTAAGCATCTAAAATAACGGTTACTAAGTGATAAAGCCGGTGGCTACCATCTTACTTCACCACATTAAAAGAACAACGTTTTTAGGTAAAGGAGAAATGAAAGGGGGCTTTGGTTCCGATATGGGACAGAAAAAAGGGGAGCCTATATAGGCACTTTTGCTTAGCATCTTTATTAATCTTTTTTTTTTAGATTAAAAAGAAAATTATTTATTACAATTTAATGGCAGAATTATGAAGTGAATATAGCGAAAAAAGGAAGAAATGCATGGAGCAGTGACATGCTGGGTAGTATTAGCAATGTTTTCTTGCAGCATATCCCCACTCACTCCATTTTTGACCACAATGTGTTTTTTTTTTCTTTTGTTTTCTTTTATTTGAAAGATCTCACTGTCCGGACCCTTACATTGAAAAGGCAACTTCCGATGAAGAAATTTCTGGTCAAAGAAACAAAAGGGATTTTGAGCTCACATTACCTGATCTACGTCCTAAGAATAGTAAACACGAAAATATTTCAAAACTATATAAGAAAAACGGCTAAGCAATGTACCCTGAGTACAGCGTCATCGTCACCAGTCCTTGTCACATCAACAACATTTACAATCTCTGGCGCCAAAGCTGAGTAAAAAGAACCTAAAATCTAAGATACTTCAAAAACTACAAAACGGCCGACAGAATATTTTTTAATCAGTACGGTAAGTTACGTAACACGGTCCGTCCCGAAAATGGAATGGAAACTAAACCAATTCAAAGTTCTACTGGTAACTCGGCTTCCCCATTCTTTTTTCTTTTTTTCTTTCTTTTTCTAAGAGGCCTTATTTTTCAGTAGTTACACAATTATGAATGCAACAGAGTCCAGCGAGAGATATAGTGTGTCGTGGTGATGAACAAGTCCGATTAACGAGAGTAAATCAATACAATGCTCCAAGACTGACCAGCCAATTACGGACAAACGACGGAACCCCACTACAAGAAGTGTATCAGATCTGCAGAGGAAGCTGCAAGACCTTAACAAGTCAGGCAACTTTTCCGAGGAGGAGTATAAGAAACTTCAAGTTTCCGGTCCAAACTCTGCATCTTTTTATGGACTTCCAAAATTTCATAACGAGGAGCCTCAACCAGATAACGACCATTTCATAACTGATCCCAGCGGAGTTGAATTGCGTCTCCCTGAGACCAAGAAACAGTTGCATTGCTGCACCTATATTCCAGGTATCTAAGTACGTGGCGAAGATACTCAGAACCTTACAAGTGGATGACCAGTATACCGTGCGCAACTCAACTGAATTTGCAGAGTTCGTGCTTAGCCAACGGGTCACTGACGATGAGGAACTCGTATTCTTTGATGTCGTTTTACTTTTCACTTCCATCCCTGTAAAGTTGGCAATTGACGTTGTAAAACCGAAGCTCCGATGGATAGAAAGAAACACCTGTCTTCAGTGAGTCGCAGGCAGTTATAGACTTTCTGGAATTATTACTGGGAAATAGCTTCTTCACTTATCAGGGGATGCAATACCAGCAAGTGTTTGGTTGCGCAATCGGGTTACCAGTCAGCGCAATGGCCGCAGATCTTGTCATGGCCAACGTAGAGGAACGAGCAGCGTCTGCCTCAGTCTCCAGTTGCTCCACGTCGGTGGTGGAGCTAAGGTATGTGGACAACTGCAACGTACGTTTGATGAGAACAGACGCAGACCTTCTCCACCAGCATCTGAACTCTATTGACGGTAACATCCAATTCACAATAGAGTGCGCATGTCAGACTAACAAGGGTCAGAGTATTTCCTTTTTGGACTCACGAATAACCGTGTTGAGCGATGGTTCCATAGCGACTGATGTTAACAGAAAATCAACCCAAACCCGCAACACAGGCAACACAAGGAAGCTGCCGCGGTGGAAACACTCTTCAACGGGAGCCAGCCTCTTCTTCCCTCCGCGTCCTGTACTAAGAACGGAAGAGCGGGAATGCGTTTTAAACGATTTAAAAGCGAGTGGTTATCCTGGTAGTCTGTTAAGGAAATATACTCACAACAAGGCTGAGAGGCCACTGGGGTTTGTGATCCTTCTTTACGTAAAAGGCGCATCTGATCGCGTGGGCGGCGTCGTCCGAAAATCTCACGTTCGGCATGGCAGCCTTGAGGCCAGTGAGAACACTGGGTCACATATTTAAAAAGCCCCAGGACCGACAAAAGTTCGACCGAGTCCAAGGGATCGTCTACAAAGTAAGCTGCCATGACTATACATTCACCTACGTCGGGGAAAGCAAGCGCTCGTGGAGCTCACGCGGGCTAGAACGCTGTGTTACAAACTAGTACAAGAGGCTTTCCTTGGAGTCGTGGCACTAGACTTTTGACATCACCGTTCCCTCGGGCTTACATACTGTTGATTTTAAAAACCAATAAACCGGCGGCACACGGGCTTGTGGTGCGGGTAGTAACGAACCTTAACATTGCTATTTTGATGAAGGTGGACAGAAGCCACCGAAAATCCAGAACAGAAAACAACGGAAAAGTAACCTTACTTCTTTAACCCTTCTTTAACCGAGTACAGAAGTGGGCCGGGGCCCCGGAACGAGTATTGACGCTCGTTGCATGAATCGTTATCATTGTTTGTGGACGTATCATTATGAAGGCAAGACATTATGTGAGTCCACATTCCAATCGGGGTATTTCTTAACGTCTCTTATAACGTACTATGTAAGAATATATGCATCACTAAGGATGGAGGAATTGAACTATTTAAATCTAAGTTAACTAGTCAAAACAAGTTCTAACTTACCAGTTATCACCCGATTTATTCCACAGTCACTTCTCGTTTTAATAAGCTCCCTGGTATCAAAGAAAAGAACTCCATGACCCAAATTGAATGAGCAAAATAATCAGTTTTCTAATTAACTAATAATGATAAATTTACTGCCATAGCGAGTTTGTGAAATTGACATTTGAACATAAGCACCTCTGATAAAGTACTAAAATGCTCCTACAAAGTGCTCAAAAAAGTTTCACAAGCGCGCTAAGTTAGTTAATTTACTATTATCAACTTCAAGTTATTTGGAGGCGGGACTCAAAATGTCAACGTTTTAGTCTAGCTGACCTTCAATAACCTAACATTTCACGAATCATATTAGATTCGTGAATAGATCATCTCATTTCGTCTACCGAACGAAATTTGTGTTCTTAGTATATGAACTTTGATAAAAACGGGAGTAGATTACAAAATAACTCATCATTTACCGAGAAATACTTTGCTAAGAGTTGTAGGAATGGTCAGCTAGCCCACCTCTAGGGGTGTGTGGGAGTCTGCTGACTGGGAAAATTTACACTGAGTGACCACATTCACTTTCTGGGGATTTTCTGTGCATTGCGAGAGAACCAACGTCCAACATTTCTTGATTGACATTTTTTGATTCTCTGCTAAATCGATTCGTTTTTCCTTCACAGCATACACCATTGAAAGTTTGTCTGTTAACTGGTTTCCTTGAAGATTCACGAGTTTTCACTTGGTTGATGAGCTTTGCGTCATTAACCCAGGGCCTCAGCTATCAGTTTTGAGATTTAACCCCTTCAGTACATTAAAAATTGCGGTTCATTTCACTCTGTCAACTTGAACTTCAGCGTATTTTGGTTATTTACCTTACGGTGTTATAATAAGACTATGGCGTAAATAACCAAAATTGGCTCAAATCTTATAGTCTTTTTGGTTAATTTAATATCCACACATTGATTGATTTCAAGTTTGTCTCAGTACTAATATCCACACAAACTCTTATATTTCAGCTCCTAAAGATTCTCCATGCAAAATCTTACATTAAATTCTAAACCTCGGATAATACATTTCCAGCTTTCTGATTTAGATTTCTGAACGGAGAAATTGCTGAAAACAGCACCTTTGGCTTCACAGTTGACTCAACTACTCAGAGTTTGACAGAAATGATTAATTGAAAGAGTTCTTAAATGCAGTACAACCAAGGCGAAGGGAGGATCCAAATTAGTGAAAACAAATTAATCTTTAGGCATAAAATTAAGCTAAGCATTCCTGTAAAGTTTGGGTAAAGTTTGTTACCTTACATATGGGTCTTGTAGTTTTTATACTTCAGTAAACTTGACCGATTCTGAACCACCTGTGTGAACAACACAATGTCAATTCTTGATTATGACGGTCGCGTAAACAAGTAAGATCTTACTTTGTTTGACTTGAAAAGGCGTATAATTTTCAGCGACGCCTCTTCATCGGATTTTCCCGTTAACTTTTTGTCGTTTGCCAAAATGTCCGGAATGTAGACACCTTTGGAGGTGATTATGCGAAGAATACTTCGGAAGGAAATTGTCTCGCTCGCTTTCCTCCATGACAAGCTGCAATCATCAACTCAAAAACTGAACAACGCGCGACAAACTTTCCCGCCTTTCCATACTATCTCGTCGTTTAGATCTCACTGAAATGTCCACATTATTCAGTCGATTGAGGCAGCTAATCCATTCGCCCTTGTTGGATACGCGATTACAGTTGTAAATTAAAGTCAAGTGAAGTGATAAAAATGTCGTTTTGGGTACCGAAATAGGTCAGCTATGATTTTAGGAAAGGCAATACCTAACGATAAGGTTTTCGGGAAATAGACAAAAAAAGCCCTAATAAATTCGAGAAGACTCAAGTTCCCCTAAAATGACCGAACGGATAAAATTTTTATAGCAAAGGGTCCTTAAAATAAACATATAGAGCTATAACTGAAGCACTCCAGATAGCCTAAACTGAACAGCGTTTGAAAGCATTTGAGAAAAACCCGTCGCTGGGTGCCCTGACTCAAGCCTTACTTCATTTCATAAACTTGCGGTGATGGTTTACACCGGACGTCCAATGATTCAGATGAAGCCTACTGCATCAGTTGAGCTTCAACGAAAAGTTGCTTTGTCATTCATGCCTTCATGCAGTGTTTGGGAAAAATTTAAGCCGAAATGTGCAGAAAATTCTATAAAAATCCTCTAAAGCTCTCTCCATTGCAATAAAAAAGCATGTCTTGTAATTTGGGTTGCTTTCTTTCTACTCTTGTTTGTATTAAGTTTAAGTAGTTTGCGAAAAGGTCGGTCACGAATGCACTTTTGTGGGTCAAGTGATATAACTGGTTCGTTGAGAAGCGAATCCCCTCTGTATCGCTGAATATTTGTATTGTGCGAAGACAAGCGAAGATCAAGGTAAGCCAGAGAGTAAATCCCCATAGAGGCTTTATACCCAAGGTAATCCCTCTTAACCTAAAATGCATAAGATCGTTTATCGGCCCAAATGTTGCTCGTTAGAAACTTAGATAGGTCAATTGGACAGAATTATGGAGAAAAAAAGAAAGTTTCGGGAAAAAAAAGTGCTTTTCCTTAAGTTATTTTTAGACATGGTAACCAGTTCTTGGAGGGTGTTAGTCGCGTGATGCGTGGACAGCGCAAGCGACGTTCTCGCAACTACAACAATGTACCTCAGACGATCTATGTGTTTTGACTTCGGAAAGATGTTTCAACGGCAACGTGCTAAACAAAAGGCTTAATGAGCAGAACAATGGCTTTGCACGTGCGTTATAATTTTTGGTACATTTCTTTGCCGTCCTCTGCAAAACAAGAACGTGAAATGACCAAGTTCTGCATTGTCTGGAGAACGTGAACTACGATGGCTAATTTTTTAAATTTTTATTTAGAATTTATCGATGTGTCCTAGATTCAGTTTCGTGATAGCTTTGACAGTGATAAACAAAGTAAATTAGGGTGTCGCGAAATTCGTAGATAAAATATAAAATCATTTTTTTATCGACGTTGTCCTCGGCGTCGCCGTCGTGGTTTCTTAAGCTCCTTAATAACCTCTCAACAACGACTGAGGAATGGTGTCTACAAAACCCATGATATTGTAAAAGGTCACGAAACTTGATCCCACCGCGCGACGTTAGTTTCTGTTTTATTGTGTTAGAAATTTATATGCTACAATAAGCATTTTTTTTTAAATATCCAACCCCTGAAAAAAAAAAAAAAAGACGGGTGTCATATTACACCCCTACCTCCTCATAAGGGCCACCTCTCGACCACTCTCGACCTCCTCATAAGGGCCACCTCTCATTGTGGAGAGGTTTGACTGGGCTGTATTTTCTTCTGGATTTGATCGCTAGCGTTACATATTTAGTTTGAGCTGGATTTTATACCACTCGGCGTACTGAATCTTCTCTTGACGAAGAGTAACAACCACTACATCGCCACTGCTATGATTTTACGCTCAGTAAATTTGTGTAAATAAAGAAGTGAAGAGTTCTGAACACAAACCATTTCAACCTCACGTTGCGTTGTCCGTAGAGTGGGTAGGTTAATTATTGACACGATCTTTACTTAGGGATCATGTTTGTAACTATATCACTACCAGATATTCGTAAGCTTTGGTGTACGATTGATTGTCGAACGATTTCGCTTTTCTCTTTTTCTTCACCTTATATCGTTCTTTTACCTGTATCGTTAAAATGACAGCGAAGACCAGGTCCACTAGCAGTACTCAGCGCCATTTGAGCACAGACTTGACAGACTTCGAGTGGGAGTGTCTTCTGTCTAGTGCATCGTTTGCTTTTCCCGGCCACATTGCCTCTAGCTCCAGTCTTCGACAGAGTAATCGAACTCAACGAACTGAAGAAACCATCAGCGAACAAATTTTCCTAAACCAAGATCTCGCCGCCATCCTCCGCCCGCGGCACGCACAAACCATTTCTTCAAACTCGCGCGCGTTGCTCGTAGAGTGAAAGTGAGGCTGTTTAGAGCCCAGGACAACCGTTTTTGATCTTTCGACATCCAAGATGGCGGAAGAAATGCGAGCGAAAGTGGCACAACTTTTGAAAGGAATAGACAGGTAAGAAAAAGTGGAACGGTATCCATTAATTTGTAGAAAAACGAATAAGTGTACATTTTATAGATTAGTGTAACAATCTTCTGTTTAGGGACCCATCTTAGGAGCCCAATGATTCTCTCGATCCGCGTGGATCAAACCAGGACGTAACATGTCGATCAAAGTCGATCATCGAAAACGTAGTCGATAAGTCGATAGTACTCGACATTTGTCGATAATTGTCAATCGACAAGTTAAATTTGTCGATAAAAGTCGATAATCACAAGATTTTCAACTGATTATCGATTTTATCGACAAAAATGCAGACAAATGTTTCAATCAGCTACGAAATTCAAGTGACCAAAGCAATAATAGCTCCAATGACTTTTTTTATGCCGAGTGTAAACAGCTTGAAAGTGAATCTGTATGGCAATAAACCTAAATAAAAACCTGAACAACCAAGTGGTCTGTTATTCATTACAGAATTGAATGTTTAAATTACCTTGAGAAATGATCGATTAACAGTTTCAGCTGAACTAAATCGCGATCTATAACATAACTCGAACCAACCTAATTCCCAGGGTCTCTCTAGGCGGGGGAGATGAGAGATCCTGGGAACTCGAAGTCGTGTTTCTTCGGGGGGACAGAGGGGGCCAAAGTTTAGACTAGATGCGGGATAAAATCGAGGTCAGCAAAGTAATTAAGAAGTAAAGTAAATTGATATTTTATTTCATCAGTGTTTTTACTCAGTTCAACATTTGACAAATACAAGCTGCTACCACTCTCCTCCCTCTCGGCTAGGTTGGCTAAATTCACCCAGTTTGTATGCCCCTTGCTTCTCCTTGCGCCTGTGACTGTTGTACCAGTCCGCAACCTACGTATACCTACGCCATACATCGTTTTTTGTATTTCCGATACTTGTCGATTGAAATCGATCAAAATCGATCAAAATCAATCATAATCGAACAAAGTCGATACTCTAAATTGTGTAATCGACTTTTATCGATTTCCGATATTTGTCGATTGATTGGTATCGACAACGATCGACAATGATCGATTTTTATCCACTATCGAAATAATCGACATGTTACGTCGTGTTATATTTCACGCACGCATCGAAAATCTCAAACAAACATTGACGGTCTTAACAATCAAGAGACTGGCATCACAGTTCAGCGTTTGCAAATGGGGTTATGCATTTCTTCGCAACCGCAAGATTATGAAGGCTTCAAGCGATACGATGGTGGAACCTTGCTTTGTTTCAAGCACGGAGAAGGGACGTACCTATACGAAAATGGCGACATGTACAAGGGTGAATGGAAATGGAACAAAAAGCACGGACATGGTGTTTATACGCATGTGAACGGAGAAATGTGAGTCAATCTACGTTTAAGCTATAGGTAGCTTATCTCCTTCTCGGTTAATAACTACAAGGTGGCTACTAGTCAGTTTATACATGTTTGTGAAATGCACATTGATGTATTTAGCCTGCCAGTATTAACAAACAATTGCATTTGCATGATGCAATAATTCTAACGACGAATCAGAACATATAGCTTGTATGTTTTGTGATTTTCGACTCGGCTTTCCTATTTCGACGACCTTTTTAAACGTTAGAAGGTCAGAACCCATTTACTGCATTGAAATTTTGGATTTTATATTTATAGATATTAAATGTCCTTCCACTGTAACTTCCGGTACAACGTGACGAAACAGAAACACTATGTATTGCGTAAAATGTTACGGTTGTCCAGTTATATTACTTTGGGCAAGTCCTTAAAAGCCACTGTTCAATGCGTAAAGATGCTTCGTTTAAATGGGAAACGCGATTCCCTTATTTTGTGTTTAATGATTTTGTCATTAACGATACCATTATTGCTTTTGTTTATCACTAAATGGAACTTTCGTTTTTTAAAGTACTGAATCATATTTTTATTAACGCAGAAAACGAGGTTATTTTTATCAAAATGAATATATTGGACAAGACCCGGGTAATTTGTTTGCTGCAACGTCGTGTTTTGCGGGATTTTCTGGAAAAAGCTCGGAAAAACCACTGGCAAGTGACGAAGAAATAAGGTACGATTTATTTTCTTGGTTCCGTTCATTCATTTTCTCGTTTTATTTCCTTCCTTTCCTCGGCTGCCCAGTCGTTCTTCCAGATTCCCAGCTCACTTTAAATAATTATTTGATCGATAGATGAATTTAACTAACCTGCCTTACGACCTATGTTTGGTTGGTTACATTCCCCACCCTCCCATCCCTGCTCTCTCGCAAGTGATCTACGTTCCTCCCCGAGAAGAGACTTCCCCGAGCAGTGGCTGGTAAGGGATGGGCCATTATTTTTTGGAGGGGAGTGGGGGTAGGTAATTGCAAAAAAATCATTTATTTACAGCTAAAACTGCTGGAAACAAATAGTACAAGGGGAGCCATGGGGAAAAACCGAGCAAGTACCTTCTACTATTGTTAGTTTGAGTTTAGATGCTAAAAAATTCTTTCCCAACATGTTGACCACCTAAAAAATAATGCGCAACCTAAAGAAAAAAATTCATGCACCGGAAAACTGACCCAGCACCCCCCCCCCCCCCCCCCCCCCCCCCCCC